CATCCGCGTGAGCTATATGCAAGGGGTGCGCCGTATAAATGTGCGCACTTTATAGAACCTTTCATCGTCGAAGGATGGGTCGCCGCGATTTGGAGGAGACGCAGCGGAGAGCTCCTTTCTCCACTGTTCCTTCTCCGCTTTATCGACCTGCAAGCGGTCCTTCGTGAGCGGCCCGTCTTTATCAAGGAGGCGCACTCACCGGTATCCAGCCAAAACTTCTAGAGTTCAAGAACTGTGCGCGCTCACGGGTGTCGTCGTCCTCGTATCGCACACGAAAGAGCGTCGTTTCAGCCTTCACAAACCGCCGTCGCAGCTCTTCGCTTGTGACGTCTACTGTCAGCTCCCTTAGCCCACACCACGAGCGGCGCATGCAACTCACGAGCGACAAAATGCGAGCCTCAGCACGAAATGCCCGAGATGATCCTTCCTCCTCTCCTCATCAATTTCTACTGCTTTTTTCGCGGTGCTGCTCCCGAGCGGCACGTATTTCGCACACTGGGCTTTGGTGACCTCCCTGAGCTCTTCGGGCGATCTGTTGCGCACGAAGGACGATTCGATCTCTGCGAGGACGCGCAGGCGGTTGAGAGCGCATGTCTCGAATTCTTCGATGGTCACGTCATCAAGGGGAGGCTTGTCGTAGCTTGGAGAGGGTCAGTACGGTCATGCGCGATGCGCGACAGGTCTACGCACAAGTTGAGCCTGTATGGGTATTTGAGATTGGGGTTGGAAGGGGTATCTGCAGTGCGCGCGATGTCTCGTTTCTCCTTTTTGACGCCTCCGGAAAACATGATAGAGTGTATAGGTTCTTGTGAGTGCTCGTGAGTCGTGGACGTTGAGAACAAGTCGGATGGAGATCGCGGATTGAACGTGAACGCGTCCCGTCACGTTGTGACATGCGTGAGTCGGCCTCGCGTCCTGCGGCACTAGGAAAGTGAGATATATACTATATGTATCATTGTATGTACCCAAGAACAATTCACTGTTGTCAAGCGCCCAGCTCCCTCCTAGCTCAACCTATCCTAAGCCCCAAAGTCAAACCCGCGATGAACGACGCCCTTGGCTGGAAATCCGCAGTCAAAAAGTCCACTACCCATCGCCACAGCGATCCCACCGTCAACCCCTTCCTATTGCCCTTTCCATCATCAGTGGACGCTAGTTTCTCGAAACCCGCTCCCATTTTCTGCCAGTCGACGCGGACAACCGACACTGAGCTCAGGTACTGCGCGACGCGTTAGCAATGCGACATAGTAAACAGACGTGACGGACCTGTAGCAGCACAAACACGCCCCCGAAGACGAATGCGAGTGCTTTCGCACCCTTCTTGATGAAGACGCCCGCGCAGATGCCGCAGACGGTCCCGAAAGAGAGTTCATACAAGTTCACCGATGACGTAGGCGGGGGCGGGGGCGGTTGAGGAGTCTCGACGATGGGCAGAGGCGTTCGCGAGTTCGGGCTGCGTCGGTCTACCAAATCCCAGTCAGTGTGCTGGCCGAAAGGGGAGGCGAGTACTCGGCTCTCACCTGGTACGTCGCAATAGACCTTCGGCAGCGTAAGCGCCGTCACCCCAAGGCCGACGCCGAATATTCCTGCCGCCTTGAAGAGTGTGTTCGGCCGCGCCTGCGCTCGTACGAGAGATCGTTCGGCAGTGTGCGAGTAGAACTTTGCGCGGGTCTCGAATACGACGCGAGAGAATGGTTTGTAGGCGGTAAACTGAGCCCAAGGGCTCGCCGAGCGGTATGCACCCTGGCGCGCGAACGAGGACGCAAATGAGAACATTTCGTACTGGGATCCAAATCATTTTCTTCTGCGTCACCATGAGTAGAATAATTGTAACTCACTGTGTAAGTAAGAGCAAAAGACGAGTCCTTACGAACTAGCGGCGACAGACAAAGTCGAAAGTCGGAAACGAGTTACGAGATGGACGCCGCGGCGCCTCCCAATCGGTGACATCATCTCTCGTGGCTTTCATATGCGCCGGTATTGCGGCGCGTCTCATTTCAGTTTCGACGTCAGACAAAAATATCCGAGCCCGTGAGGTTGAATGAATTGTCTCTTGTCTGCAAAAGGAGACTAGTTTCGACCATTTCTACCAATTTCCTATGTGTACAGTTTACTCAAACCACACTCAAACCACAGCTGCGTATTTCTCCATGTTATCCAAAATTTTCGCCCATCTACCTCCATGCCAGGTCGATATGGCTTCCCATTCCTCAGGAACAACCAGCTTGAACCACCCCACCCAGGACGCGATCGTGATATCCGCGAACGATACCGTGTCGCCCATGACATACGCACCCTCGCTCTGCTGCAGCCATCCATCCACCGTGTCAAACCCCGCCTTCACCTGCTTCATCCCGCTGGTGCGCACTTCACTCCCAGCAGGCGACAGCTCCTCCAACCTCACCCCATAATCTGCCTCCCTCGTGCGGCGGAAGTACTCCTCGCCCCGCGGGCGCAGGATGCTATTCGAGCCGGACGCACCGATCGCGAACCATGCGCCCAATGTGCCGAAGTACGCGCTCTGGAAGGCGTGCTGCAATGCACGCGTGCCCGCAGGGAAAAGCGCCGGTGTCTCGGGATACGTCGCGTCGAGGTAAGCCGCGATTTTCATGGAGTCTGCTACGACGACGCCCGTGGCGTTGTCCTTGATTACAGGTAGGGTGTAGTATGGGCTCCCGTCGCTCTTGAGTGTTGTGGGCTCGGCGCCGATCTCTTTGCAGACAGCTTCGATGTCTGGATATTCGACCCATACGGTCTCGTATGCGATGCCCTTGTAGTTCAGGGAGTACCTGGATATTCTCTCAGCGGTGTTCTGCGGTTTTATGGAAGCGAAGGGCCTTGCCTGGTTTTCCAAGTGTTCGGCGACCAGGCGTTAATCGGGGCCTTGCTCGGGATGTCGTAGAAAGTAATTGAAGGAGACATGGTGTTGAGCACGCCCAGGTACGTCTGGGATATAGCTCACGGGCAACTGGCTACTGATACAGCGCTTACAGTCATCTGGATTCTCTTTATACTCGCTCTGACCACATCATAGGTATAGGACTCTCACACCCCGTCTCACGATCATCGAACGGCACTCCCAGCGCACTGCTCATTCTCACTCTGTGAATGGGATCTCTGCGAGCTTTGGGGTCCAGTTGGAGATACGTGGGATGGACCTGGACTCCATCCCTTCCCAGCGCTCTCCTAGAAGCCAGAGGGTGGTGCCCAGAATCGCGAAACACCCGCTGCCGCCGCCAACCATTGACGAAACAAGGCTCGGACGACTCGGAGTTTGCCCCAACGTGCTGTCGACGCTGCAGCTAGATCCATACGTAGGTAAGCGCATTGCATATTCCAATTATACGCCCTGTGTGCCTTGCAAATACATTGCAGTACCGATTCAGCGAGCAGTGTAGCACTCACTGCTCCGATCGAATCACCACAGTTTGCGCACCAGCATCTGGCTAGATGCATTATCTCCTTCGATTGAAGTCACCTCCATGCAGCCTCTGCCCCGTGTTATCGTCCACGTCCGCCTCAGCCTACACCGTTCTCAATCTCACAAAGATTACTCCGGAGCTATTCAACGACCTATTATTGATACGTGGTTGGAATCCTGTATATTTTGAAGTGCAAACGTCGTACAGAGCGACTATTATTATGCCAGATGTCTCCGCTACCGGTGAAGGCCGTTAATCCCCCAGAACGAGACCAACGCAAGAAGCGCGGCGCCCCCATATATAGCAACGCGTATTTCGAACGGATTCTCCGTGAGGAACGGGTACGGGACTGCCGCAAACAAAACATCGTCAGCGTCTCTTCCATTTCAACGCCTAGGTATGTTAGTGGGGCTTACACGTCTTGTTGAACGTCGCGAGGTACTCGACCCACGCGCCGTACCACACCGTCGACACCGCGGTCACGAGCGGCGCCCACCTCGCCTCGCTCCTCGTGTATTTGCGCTCGAGCAGAAAAAAGTCGGCTACGAGCGTGAGGGCGGGTGCGGCGTGCAGGGCGAGGTCGATCGGAAGCGGGACGTACGCGATGGCGGGCGCGGACGGGGAGGAGGTGGGCTCCGAGGTGGGGAATGCTTGCATGATGAGGTGGGGGAAGGCGAGGAGGAGGGTCCAGTATATCGATGATATCACCACGGCGAGCTGCGCGGTTTTTGGATGCGATCGTAAGCAAACAGGCCGCGTGAACGCGATGCATGCACTTACGGGTAAGGATATCATGAACAGAGCGCGTTTGACTCTCTTGATGCCTGTGGATATTCTCAGCACGCCCCCCTCACACGAGTGAGCGACTCAGACTTACTAGTCGCCGACGGGAACAGGTCTGCAACCAGACTCGCAGCCATTGTGAGCCACGCCACGCATAGCCTGCATAACATAAGATATAATTTAGAAAACGAATGTGAGCAAGCATCGTTTTTGTGCACGCACCCCTGGATCGTCAAGAACTGCAAATGCCCGCCCTTCTGAGAACGTATCTAGAACCACCCACGTCAGTTAGTACGCATCCCCGCAGGCACTCAGTCGTCGTGAATTGTTGAATACGCACATGGGCATCGAGGGGAAGGGTGCTAAGGCCCATGTAGCCGTACGCCATTATGCCCGCAGCTGCGGCGTGCAGGAGGACTGCACCGGGTCGGAAAGACATTTTAGCAAGGTTGTGTTGAGGGCTTGGGCGTTTTGGGTTTGTGGTCGTCGTTGTTCAAGGTGCACACGACTGGCCTTGTCAAAATATTGCTGCGACTGCATCGCTGCGGCATGGATATGTTTTTCAGCCGACGGATCCGGCTCAGGCGCGTCATACAACGCGTGATTTTCGCTGACGCGTCCCGCGCGCAGCGCCTGCCAACTCAAAACTCGAATTGGCCCGTCGCGTCGCGTCTTGCGCTCTCCCAACCACCCTCTCCCCACAAAAACTACGACACAACCTCCAGATTTCCGCATGTAAATTCGCCCCCATCTCAGCCATCTACCGTCTGGGTCGCGCAAAGCGAAAAAAGTTACCTGCCCCACTGAGGCTCGAACTCAGGACCTTCCGATGCCAGTAGTACTGATGCTGTAACAGTCGGACGCTTTGACCAACTTAGCCATGGGGCAGATGAAAGCCGTTCCTTAATGACGTATATCACGTCTAGCACCCTAATCCACCAATCAGTGACTGTTCCAGCCTGTATCCTCTTGCCTTCAGAATCAAAACAAGTTCGTTGACTTCAAGCTCACCCTAACTTACCGTTCCGTTTTATGGCAAAGAAAACGAAACAGGCGCTGTCGAACGTCTCTCCGAGTTCAGGCGCCAGCCCCAAGGCCGAGTTTCCTGACTTGAAGCCGAAGCGCGCCATCGAGTGCCGCACCCTTCTACAGGACCAAATCCTCCTCCTCGACGTTCGTCATTATGATGTTACTACTGCTCCCACTCGACACTAATACCGCGTCGGTGCTTTCCAGGATGTTCTAACTGTAGAGGAATGCAAGATTTTTGTGAAATTCATCGAAGGCCTCCCGCTGGAGCTTACGCCTCCAAAGAAACGCGGAGAAGCCGACAGAGTAAATCGTACAGTTGCCATCCGCTGACCAGTAGTTAGACGCCTAACGAGGCGTTCTTATCAGACAGGTATTCTATAACGTCCCCAGAATTTGCGGATAAGCTGCACGCCCTCCTCACGCCGCACTTGCCCTCGTTCCCCTACCCCACGTCCGTCAAGAAACAAATTGCCACAGACGAACCCCGGCTTCCCAGCTCGTTCAACTCGAATATCCGGCTGTACAAATACACCCCATCGCAACATTTTGGTCCTCACTACGATGACGCTGTCCGCGACCCGCAGACGGGTCACAAGTCAGAATGGACGCTGCTCATATATTTGTCCGGAGCGGAGGATGGAGTGGAAGGCGGTGAAGTGCGTGCAATGCCGCTGTGCGCGTAATCCACTCACATTGACGATTCTGCAGACGCTATTTTATAAGGAGGAACGTGGAAGGCCTCGAGAGGTCATCACTGCGCCTCTGGCACGCGGCATGGCCCTTTTGCATCGGTGCGTCTTTGCATCGCTCACTATGGAACCCAGAACGGGTTGTTTTTGCTGGGCGAATAACCCGTGTATCTGTGCAACTGTAATTAGAATACCTCAAATACATTAACCCGTTGCCAAAATTTTAAACAGTCAGACGGGTTGTAAATTCCAAGACACAATGATCCCTTTTATGACCGATTTAACCCGTTTCATCCCTGCCAAATCTCGACTCCATCTGAATGCTACTGTAACGCGTTTGTCGGGGATCACCATATACTCAGTTTACCCCAGCCTTTTGACCAGTTTTCCTAGTGCATGGACAATCCAGAAAACACCGTATATATTGTGGAATGTCTACTACAATACATATTGGCAGGGAGGATACTAAGGTATACATAAACCGATGCCGGCGGATGCACGACACGGTGTCGGGATTGGTCGTGCGCACCGCGTTGTTAGCCGAGATGCCCTGCTCCCGCGACCTGCTGCTGCACATCGTAACCGGGACTAGCTTCACCATTGGCTCGCGTGCACGCAACACTAGGTTGGTAGGTGACAGGCGGAGGCGTGGGCCAATCGACACCTGTAAGTTATCAGAAAGGCACACAGCGAAAGTACAGAAAATGACTCACTTGGTCAGGCCAACGCAAAGCAGTGATACTCGGTGTTAAGAATAATTGTAAATGAGCTTGTGCGAGGAGGAACATATATGGGAGACGTACCTTGTGCAACATACGATCCT